AATGTTTTTACTTTTTTCAAAAAAAATAAATGGAGAGACAGATTGATCAATTCATTGATTGATATGGAATATTATATCTTTGACATTGAGGGAATCCAACTATAGTGGAAGAACAATACCTTTGCCATTGTTGCTCATTTGACATAAATATATATACCACGTCATCAAAAGAGTCAGTGATGAAATTTGAAACTAGAATTTAAGCTTGATTGAGTCTTTTGGTTTTTAATCATTTAAGCCAACCTCTTGAAATTTATAGTTTTGGATATTGTTTAGTTGTATTGTGGCTTATAAAAAATGTATATAATATTTAGAGAAAAATTTAAAGAATTTTATAGGTGATGAGAAAACCCCATATCTAATGGTCATTTGTGAAACCAACTTCATCCAATTTTTACTGCTTCAAAATAAAATAGGAAACGCTATCCATTTCTGGTATATAATCCAAAATTTGTGCTTGTTGTTTCCATAAAAGATGGAAATTAATAATTAATGCTACGATGTCCCTAAATTACTTGGAAACAGTTTGGTTTCTCTAAGGGGTTGGATTCCACTCTCAAAGCACTCCACTTATGCTTCCCAAGGGTACTAGACATAGCGTTTCATGGTGGGTTGCCCTGAGACTTCCATAAATATTACACATATAGAGAACAATTAATTTTTTGTTTATATTTCTGTTGTATTATATCAATATTTGAAAGTTTCTGATTGAGATCACGGCACTAGATAGCATGCACTAGGCAGTGCGTAAATAATGACTGCTTTTTTGTCCGTCTAAAAAACAAAATTAGGTTGATACTTGCCCGTTTGATAAGGTTAGGTGGGTTTGGTAGTTTAGGAGCTCGTTGAATTAATTATAACCAATTCAATTCATGCAGAAGTAAAATGATTTTTGTGCTTTAGGAACTCATGGTCCGTGAACCGTGGTTCTTGACGTGTTAATTCATGAGATATTATAAACAATGTATAAAAGTAGCCTATATTAGTTATATTTACGTGATTCCCTTAACTTGTTTTAATTGTTAATAAAAATTATGAGTTAAAAACCTATATCACATCAAATAAATAAATAATAAAATAAGTATATATAAAGTCAAAAAATAATAATACTTAATTTTTTAAATGAAATTCGATTTCAATTATCTAATTAATTTAATACAGAATTAGGCTTTAAACAGATTCAACCATTTAACAAAAATTTTAAAATCCAAATCATTTCATAAATTTCATAACATGAATTGTCAGTAAAGAAAAATATTAGGGAACCTATTTACATCAAATAAATATACAATAGACTAATAGTATATAAAATTGAAAAAAAAATCACATATCATAATTTTTTTAAATAGAATTAAATCTCAATTATTTAATTTAATAATGTAAATAAAACTTTTACAAAATACATAATAAAAAAGTACTACCTATCCATAAAAATCCTGACAAAGTAAAATCCTTAAATAAGTAATATAGAGACACAACATGCCATTAAGGCATTAATCCTAAGCTTTCTATAGAGTGCAAGACGCCTATGTAGCCCCAAAAGGATAAATGTTTCTTTCTTTTGTTTTCCCTCTCTCTCTATATATACTTATCCATTTTGTTAACATAATAGAGACATGAATTTAAAATGATGATTATGCTAATATTAAAAATCATATATATTAATCTAATTCGATAAATATTAATAGATACTTAGATATTTAAGATTAGATTCTATCCAAAAGGCTTAAATTTTCTAGTGAGTGGTATATTCTTAACTTTATATATTAATCATCTTTAGTTTAACTATTTAATGTCCGATATGTGTTCTAACACTCCTATATTAGTTATATTTACATAATTCCATTAACTTGTTTTAATTGTTAATAAAAATTATGAGTTAAAAACCTATATCACATCAAATAAATAAATAATAAAATAAGTATATATAATGTCAAAAGATAATAATACTTAATTTTTTGAATGAAATTCGATTTCAATTATCTAATTAATTTAATACAGAATTAGGCTTTAAACATATTCAACCATTTAACAAAAATTTTAAAATCCAAGTCATTTCATAAATTTCATAACATGAATTGTGAGTAAAGAAAAATATTAGAGAACCTATGTACATCGAATAAATATACAATAGACTAATAGTATATTAAATTGAGAAAAAAAATCACATATCATAATTTTTTTAAATAGAATTAATTCTCAATTATTTAATTTAATAGTGTAAATAAAAATTTTACAAAATACATAATAGAAAAGTACTACCTATCCATAAAAGTCCTCACAAAGTAAAATCCATAATTAAGTAATATAGAGACACAACATGCCATTAAGGCATTAATCCTAAGCTTTCTATTGAGTGCAAGACGCCTATGTAGCCTTAAAAGGATAAATGTTTCTTTCTTTTGTTTTCCCTCTCTCTCTCTATCTACTTATCCATTTTGTTAGCATAATACAAATATGAATTTAAAATGATGATTCTGCTAATATAAAAAATCATAGATATTAATCTAATTGGATAAATATTAATATACGAGTTAGATGGTTAAGATTAGATTATATCCAAAAGACTTAAATTTTCCGAAAAGTGGCATATTCTTAACTTTATATATTAATAATCTTTAGTTTAATTATTTAATATCCGATATGTGTTCTAACACTCCCCTCACTTGATGTCTATCTTTAGAGTTTGTCAAGTGACTTGAGTTCTAAAGCCTTTACTAGATCATTGAACCTTTTGAAATTCCGATACTACATAGAGTTAGATATTTGAGATTGAATTCAATTTAAAAAACTTAAGTTCTTCATTAGGTGGCTCCTTCTCAACTTTATATGCTAATTATTTTAAGTTTTTTGGATGGAATCTAATTTCAACAATCTAACCCTACATGATATCGAATCTCAAAGAAATTTAACGATCTAGTAAAAATTCTAGAGCTCAAACCACTTAATAGAGTTTAAAAGATTAACTACAAGTGAGGGGGAGAAGACAATTAATATATAAGATTGAGAAAAAAATCACCCATCATAAGATTTAAATTTTTTAAATGAAATCCAATCTCAATTATTTAACTATATAGTGAACACATTTTTATCTTTATCTATGACTCAATGTATAAAAACCTTCTCTTTCTTCCAAGTCCTAGCTAGGTATTAAAGCTGAGTAACATAAATATTTTCTTATGTCCTTTCCATGGAATGTTTAATATTTGACACCATTCAATTTCCAATCAAAGTAAGCACGACCCTCATCCTTTCCTCAATACGCATCCAATCTTTCTCTTTATATCTAATCAAACGCATTAGATCATCCAATCTTCCTCTTTATATCTACTCAAACGCATTAGATATCTTAGTGACGCAGTATGCATGTCATGCTTTTTCAAAGGTACATTCCCTTCTGAAATAGATTGACAGTTTTTAAATCGGCTTCAAGAAACAGTCCTCGGTTGTCAATGCTAGAGCTTGGCTTGGTTACAAATTGCTTAGATCTTTGGTTGTAAAGCAAAGTTGAAAGTTTATGTTCTTGCAAAAATTATAAACTGTCTTGCTTCACTCTCGAACAAGAAACACTTAGGACATGATTATCCAAGGAGCATGGTATCCATGCGCATCCCAAGTCAACCCCATTATAAGAATTAATTTACCATAGTGTCTTATATTTATAAGATGAGGATTCGCCATTAAATTGATTTAATTTAATCCTCACTTTTAATAAATAACAATAATGATGATGATGACTATCCATATATTAACTTCCTTCGACCTAGCTACATATTGGGGACAATATGCCAATGACTCACCAGGTTCATATGACATTAAGGAATCTTTTTTCCGTTTACACTTAAAGGTAGCATTTAGGAATCTTCTTTCCAATTAGACTTAAAGGTAGCATATTATGGACAGCAATTATATATGTCACTTCCCTTGGAAGAAACTATTCACAAAATCCTACTCTCTCTACTTTATGTTGCATACGTCACATAGCTTTTTATAATTTGATTTCCCTAAAAGAGTAATCATTTGAAAGGTACTCAATTAACACAAAGATTAATTTATAATTCAAGATCAAAAGATTAGCTTAATTTCTTGTTATTTTGTAGAACACGTAATATAGGTATAATTATTCAAGAAGTTTTTTATATATCTAAAAATTTGAATTCAAAACTATTTATTTAAACGACTAAAGTTTTTTGTATTCAAACCAATCATCCCGAGGCATAAACATTAATTTAAATTAAAAAATAACATGAATATGTAAATATCATTTCTCAAACTTATGTCCAAATTAGGGTGACGCAAAAAGTTCATTTCCAAATAATATAATACCTTGGCATTCTTTTTATTTATTTATTATTATTATAAAAAGAGGTTTGAACTTATATTTTATGAGAGACAAAATATTTATTATAACTGAGTTATATAAAGTAACCTCAACTATTATTCAATAAGAAGGAAGTTTCTAACTTTTTTTTCCCCCATTTAAGTCATTTCATTCCCTTATCAATCTTAGACTATATGGAAAGCATGTTAGAAATACATAAAGATATAAAATACCAACACGTGTTTTGTATTTAGAACCTCTATAACACACATCATTGTTTTAATTAATAGATTCATGTCTTTTATGTTGCTTGAAATTAGTCAACTCGATAGAAAATTTTAATTATAGATTAAAAAAAATGAAGACTTAAATGAGGAAAAAAAAGCTTAATGGTTTTTGTTTTTTAAACAATAGTTCACGGTATTTTATGATCAATTATCCTATAATTAATTAATTGGCATCTAGACCTTCATTGATGAGACGAAAAATACAATTTCTTTAATAACATGAAATATTACAAATGGATTGAGAAAGAGACGAGACAGAATATTTTACAGAAACGTAGGGAAGAGATTGATGACGGAAAGCGTTGATTAATGAAGACATACAAATGACCAAGGCACGACCAAATCATAAACAGAGTTACATACAAAATTCAGTCCATCTGATCAGTTATATATTAAATCTCGTTGGTGGTATCCATGGCTTTCTTGGTTTCCTTGGTTAGTTCCTTGGCAATTTGATCATCAAAAACTTCTTCCCCACTATCATTCAACTGCGGTATCACAATGATTATTTCAGAGCAGATTGTTGCGCCCAACTTTTTAATGTCCACAATGTGGTCAGATAACTCTTGAAGTTTAGGCTCCACCACCACAATTTTGTTGGGGTTCCTATAGATTACATAAAGCACCATCTGGATGATACCAAATAAAAACCCCAGTATGTTCGGAACCTGTTGATGCAACCAAAAAGAAAGGGGGAAAAAAATAAAAAAAAAAAAAGAAGAAGAAGAAGAAGGAAGAAATGTTAATGAAAAAAACAAAAGGATAAATCTAAAGTTGGAGTTGTTATTGATTTTTTTCTTGTTTATTTATTTTCTTTTTGAAGATACCATATTGAACTTACAGCAACAAACTGGTCTTTCTTTAGATAACCGTAGAAGAACCACATAACTGCACTCAACGTGAGGAAGAATGACAAAGAAAAAGGCATGAACTCCACGCTCTTTGTTTTTATAACTTTTCTCTGCAAAATTCAATTACGTATTATGAAAAAGAATAAAGAACATTGTAGCAGAAAATTTTTCTTTAAAATAAGCCAGAATTGAAATTTGAGTTGCACACTCAAGTTACTCACCACAATGAAAAGAGGTGCAACAAAAACAAAGAGAGAAAATGTCATGCAAATCCATCCAAGAACATGGACACGTTTTTGGCCTTGTGTTAGGAAGAGAGTTAGTACACAGATGAGTCCGAATCCAAAAATATTCAAAAGGAGGAGAAGTTTGAAAGTCAGAATCTGCACCAAATTAATTACTTCAAATTAGAAAACCAATAATGGGAAAAGGGTTTGAAAAAAGAAATGAGGTGAAAGTAGATATACTTTGTCCTTCTTGGTGGCATAAAAAAGGTAGACAGCAATATAGCCAAACTCCATGAAAAACGCAAACGTATTGATGGTGATGAGAAGGATGGCATCCTCACTGAAAATTCCATAGAACAGCCAAAGCATTGCACTGAATAGTGCAATCACATATGGGATAGATTGAAATCCTTCGCTTGTTTTCTTCTTGCAGATTTGATAAAATGTTGGCCTGTGAAATATATATATATATATATATATATGTGTGTGTGTGTGTATATGATCAACTCTCACTAGTCAGTAAAAATGATCGAAGATGGTAATTTATTAAATGATTATCGCATCTAAAAGCTTAAGCCGATGGATAAGGTTTCGAATATAATTTATAACAGTCTCTAAAACACCTCTTCAAGTGAAAGGTCCAATATTTGAGCTTAAAACTTGCACGTGTCTACATTGTCTTGTGCTTAATACTTGAGAAATTGGGGACTATGAGGCTTAAACTCGGGATCTTTTGATCAACCAAGCTCTAATACCATATTAAATGATTATCTCACCTAAAAGCTTAAACTAATAGATGAGGTCCCAGAATATAATTTATAATAATCTTTAACATAATTAGTATGCAAAAGTAGAGATTAATGTTTGCGGACAAATACTTACAAAGGAGCAAGGCAGACCAAACAGGAGATGAAGTTGCCTATATAACATTAGCAGCGAAAAAGAAGAGGAAAAAAAAAGAAGTTAATTAGTCTATCAGGTGTAGAAAAGAAAGGAGTTCGAAAAATTATCTATACGAAGCTTAATAATTTTCATGCATCCGAAAGTACGTACCATCTCTATTCCCTAAGACACTCAACTACTTATAGAGAATGAATAGCAATTGTGGAGAAGTTCAGAGCTAGAGGAGAGACTTATAATGCATACCTAAAAGACCAAAAGCAAACATCCATGTCATATGCAAAGCCATCTCTCTACTCCAACAAAAGAAAGACAATATTAAGGTCTCTGTTTCTCAACTCTCTCAGACAGTTGTGCTTCTCAGGAGAAACTCTAGCTATGTTGTATTAATGAGCAATGGCTATGAGCTATTTATAGCGAAAAGAAGGGCGAAATTGATTTAGTCAAGTTGCAGTAAAAAATATATGGTATAATGTATACATGTAATCATTTAAAGGTGGTTTGTGTTAAGGGATCAGTATGGACCCTTTTAGGTTGTTCTATGGAACTTTTTACATAAATTTGAATAAGTCCATACAGCCTTCAAGCCCTAATGCCCTCTATCTATCTATATTAGGTTTATTGCTCCGAAGGTAAACACTATGTCTCCAACAGTAGCTCCTACTTTCTGGTGCCATAAGTAATGGTAGATGTCAAAATTTCCACCAGGCTCTTCTCTGATTTGTCACCCACGGTCTCAAGAATTACAAGAATTAACAACTCATATTTCAGTTCCAGGAGACCTGTTTGCTTCAGGAACACATTTATCCTAAGTTAAATTTGTTAGGCAAAAACTATGTTTAGATCTTGCTTCATTAATAACCGACAATAATTTGAACTTTGGGTTAGTAAATTGATCATTTAGAAGATAATTAATACAATATCAAAAACTTATGGTAAGATTTCGAGCTTTCTTTTTAGGTGCATTTTTCTCACTATAGCAGTTTAATTTATTGGATATGTTCCAAATCAGGAATTAACATTTAGTTTTCAAGCTTCAAACTTTAGTTTGATTATCTTTAGTTAATTCAATTGGATTTGAGCTCATTTGGCCTAAAAGATAATTCAATGGTTAATTAAAGGATATGTGTGTTCGATATTGATTTAATCCAAAAAAATAATAAATTTAGTCTTACTTAATGTAAAAATTAACATTAGGATACACCAAAATATATATATATATATATATATATATATATATATATATATATATATATGTTAGTTAGTTAGTTTTATGCAAAATAAGTCATGCTAACAACTATTAGAGTGTAATTGAAATCATATTTCATAATTTTATCTAATAGTTTAACTTTTAAAATTGAGTGGTTTTTTGATATAATATCAAATGCATTATTTGACCAAATAGAGACTACATTCTTTGACAACTACTACATAAATCATAATTAGCTAAAAAAGATTTTTTTTTTTCTCATGCACCTAATCTAATTAGTAGGTATGTCAAAAAATCATTTCAACTCAAAAGTTTAAGTTATTAAATGAGATTCTAATAATAATTTTATATCATTCTTTAATTTACTTTTTCAAGTGAAAGCTTTTTTAATTTGAAACTTGCACATGATTATCATTACCTTTAGAAAAAAAGCAAAAATGATAAGATTTGAATTCGTAATCATTTAGTTATTAAGGCTTTAATATCATTTTAAAGAACTATTTCAATTCAAAAAATTTAAACTGTTACGTGAAGTCTCAATAACAATTTTATATTAGTTTCTAATAAGATACATATATATATATATATTGGCATCTTTAGGAGGGTGGTCTGATTCCACTAGCAATACACTCTATCTAAATTGCTTCCCACCTGCATTAGAGTACGGGCTTGGACTTCTTTGATGGACTTATTTCTAATGAATTATATTGTTATATGTATTTTGGTTGTTCTTATATGTGTTTCTAGATCAATCTAATGAATTATACTGTTATATGTATTTTTGGTTGCTGTTACATGTGTTTCTAGATCAATCTAACGAATGCGTTTCTGATTGAGATCACAGCACTAACAGAGGAGTCTACTCAATGACGAAATGCTCTCTTTTCTTTCTAAATGAGAATTTTTATTAAAGGATACTTGTCTTTAAGATAAGATAAGGTGGGATTTAGTTGTCCAATAAACTTCTAATGTATATTATAATTTTGGGTTTTTAAGAAATTCAAAAATACTAGGTTGATGAAGATTTTGTTATTAATTGCGTACCGAACTAGTCCAGTTTTGATTGAAATCACAGCACTTATTGGCATGCAATAGGCGGACGGTACGTAATGGCAAGTGGCAACCTTTTTCTTCTCTTTTCAATTTGATTTTTGTGGAGACAATCCACTTTATGGATAAGATGGGGTCTGGCTTCTTAAAAGGTTCAAATAATAACTCGTAGAGATTTGGCAAATTAATGCATGCACGCGAAAAATATTGGGCGTTTTTGTGTTTCAGGAGACTGCCAATTATTATGCTTGTCATATATAAATTTTCCATGTGAGTAGTTTGGATATTGTAAACAATTCGATCCAAATTTGATGACGTCATCAGAAATCATACTTTTTTTTTGTAAATAAAGCATGAAAAACTTTTTGAGTGCGTAAGTTTTCTAACCAGCAATAACACATCCACTCGAGCCTCTGGAGCGTGGTGAGAGATTTAAACTCCTAATCAGTTGGTTATAAAGATTTTGAATATCGTGTTAAAATTTACTCAACGTAAAATATTAAACTGTTTAATGAAACATTAAGAAAGATACACATAATTGATGAGAGGTCATAAATTTAATTGGGTAAAAAATATATAGATAAGTTTTTTAGATCTCGATTTTATAAAAGACATTGCATGTTGAGTTATAAAAGAAAATTAACAATACATAGATAAGTTAACCTAGTAAAAATAATTAAGAATTATAAAAATATTTCTGTTTTGATAAGACGAGATCAATTAAAATTAATAAAATAAAGCAAAAAGGCAGCATAGAGGCAAGCAAAAAGCCAAGGCAAGGAAGACCAGAATTAAAAAAATAAAATAAAATAATATAAAAATTGAAGAGATACTCTTGGACACATTCCTATAATGAAATGTAGTATATAATGCTATTATTGTTTGAAAAGCCAATGGATAGTCATAGATTCTGATAATTAACACTTTATTAACAGGAACAAATTTTCAATGATACATTTAAAATATATATATATATACTCTCCTTTTCGACTCCCTCTTGTATTATGAGCATGAACATTGCTTCTCCAATCATACATGAAAGCACTAGTCGACTACGTGATATTGAAATCACACGTGTATATTCAAATACCATAAACTTACTACAGGAATAATGGGCGAGCCTCAATCCACCACAACTTCAGGAGTTTGGCACGCAATTATGGGCTCCCTCACGTGGTGCAAAATGTGAAAACGTGAATAATCTTTGTCCTAATCCAAAATTTGTCCTAATTTTTATTCTTTTTATCTTTTTTCTTCTTCTTTTATTTACTTGTCTTATGTGTTTCTTGTTTTTATTTCATTTTGGAATTTATTACGAAAAAAAAGGATAAAAATACAAAAATTGCATGGCATATTTAATTAGGGGCATTGTCATAATCCAAAATTTCTTCCCAATTTTTTATCCCTTTTATCTTTTTTTATCCTTTATTTTCTCATCTTCTTTTACTTATTTTTTTTATTTTTTATTTATTAATTATCAAAAATACAAAAAAAAATACAAAATACAAAAATTAACTACATCGAGGGCATAAGTGAATTAAACAAAATTGAAATTGAGGCAATTAGGGATACATTTGAATCGATCAAAAATTTACCTGTGGACTTAATTGAACAAATTAAAAAATACAAAGACTATATTGATACGTCCAAATAGTACAATTGAATCAAAACCTAATTGACAACGACCTAAATCAACCTAAGATACAAACGACAAGTACTAATGTCACTAGTAGAGGGATTAGTAGGCAATCGGGACGTCTACGTCGCCGTATATAATGTCACCGTAATGGACAAAATCAAAGTCTTCATCCCCCGGATCTTTATCTACTCGCTATATGATAATGATGTTTTGCTTGTCTAACCTCACACGCATTCCCTAATCTTCTCCTCGTACCGGTTAGGAGTCTAATCGGTAGCATTATCATCGAGGAATTACAATGCTACCGAGGATGAGCCGGTTTTTTTTTTTAATGAGTAAAGGTAGTGATACTCATCATTGCCATCTTATAGTAACCCTTCCTCGTTTTGAATTTCACACACCCTCATGCTCCGATTAATGAGTGACGAGTTATTGGGATGACTTAGGAAAGGCATATTTTAGGACCAAGTGGGTTAGTTATGGGTTTAGTTTTGGTATTTAGAGTCGAAGCAGGATACCGATTATGAGGGTTAGGAATTGATTTTCACAAAATAGGATCTAAGGTACTAGGAAAACTATAAGATAAAGAGGCAATTGATTGGGGATTAGATTTTGGACAAAAGGGGAGATTAAGCTAGTTGAAGAGTGAGGATGATTTGGGGTTAGAGTTCTAAGTTTGCAATAGAAAGGAGAGTATAGGGTTTTAATGGCTTTAAAAGGTTAGATCACGAAGCTTAACTAGTCCGATTTTAGGTTTTAGGGCTTGATTCAAGAACTTTATGAAATCTAGTTTTTTATTTTATGTAAGTCTGGAAAAGAGGAATCAAGGAATAGTTATTGGAGGGTTTTATTTGTCTAATATTGAACATGAAATTGTTTGAGGTGGAGGGCTTGAATACTACTCGAAGAGGGAAAAATGTAGGAGCGATAGGTGTTGGGTTTTCATTGATCGAGATATTTAATTTAAAGAAGAATATATGAGATCGAGGGTTTGGATTAGAGAGAGATGAGAAAGAGATGGATTTTGATGATGAAAAGGTGGCTAGTAAGGGGAGATCCTTCTTATCTCGGCTGAGTCTCTAGCTTGGTAGAAAGAGACAAGGGAAGTGAAAGGTGCGGGAGATTGGAGTAGTAGAAAAAGAAGAAAAATGAGAAAAAAGATGAGTGATTTGGTTTGATCCGAGAAAAATTAGGAATGGGTGAAAAACTTCTTTTAATGAGGGGTATGGTGGCCGACTACATGAGAATGAGAGAATGGTTGGGCTTCGGCCCATCCCGTACGCAATAGCTCGGGCTAATCTTAGCCAAACCTAGCCTCCGAGGTAAAAAAAATGGAAAGAGTTTTTGGGCCCGGCCCAATAGGTCGAGGGCCCATTGACCTTAAAAAGCC